TAATTTTAAAATATATATCCAATAAAACTGATAGAATTCGTATTCTATATATTTCGAAGAATGGATAGTACAATATCAACCTTCAGTTTAAGATATGTTGTTTAGCGTTAGTTTATGCACAACAACTGGATTGAGACCGTTCAAGCACATGGGAATTTTACCTCCAGTTTTGTGAATACTGCATTAAAACAAAAAAGTTGGTCTGTTTACAGTGAGAAGAATTTTCTACTAATCGTTTAGATCAGCAATACTCAACCTGTGGCCCACCGAACCTTTTTAAGGGACCCGGCCATGGCCCATTGCTCTGAGAGATTCACTTATTTAAGAACATTTTATTAAAAATTTGGTGGGAAATTCTTTATAAAGAAATCAAATATATCAATTTTGCTTTTTGCTGTAGTTGTCGTACGGGTACGAATTAATATTCTTTTTCTGTTTGGAACAATTACGGTTAGTGATAACGGACAACAGTGGAGTAGCGACAATTTTATGAGTGGAACTATTTTTTAACTTATCTTTCATATCTGACAAGTGAAAAATTTTCAAATAATATATATCGTTTCAAGACGATTGGGAGGGTTGACTATTTTGTGGTGAAAAACAAATATGGATCAATAATTGTTTCATTTGTCACGAAAGTGCTGTATTTAAAGAATACCAATAAACAGGAATCATTCAATGACACTTTTCCTCGAAGATCTCTTTCAAGAGGTGATTAATAGGCTTTCTTGAATAATCTTTGCAACAGAAACAAAGTGTTTTGTCAGTGGTAATATCACAGCGGCAACAAAGACATTCTGTGAAGTTTGTTACATTGTTGGTATTCGTATGAAACCGTTTACCGATGCAGAAATTGGGAAGGAGTATTTCTTAAATGCTTCTAGTTTAATGTTAGTGACAAAAATAACAAAAATATAAAAAAATAATAATTAAAAAAAGCAAAACAGGAGTTATAATATTTTGATCAATTTCTCACATTTTAAATTTCCGGTGCCATCTTGATCTTAAAGCATTTCTCCAACCCCTTCTCCCCCATTTATCCTCTTTATTCGCATGTTGCGGTCCGTGTGAAATAACTGACATATGTATGCAACCCGACAGAAAAAAAGATTGAGTACCCCTAGTTTAAATGATTCCTTGAGCTTGAGAGCCGTTGGCAGGATTGAAGCTAGCCAGTCTCAAGCGAAGGTGGCTCGATCGTTACAAGTGGCCCGAAAGTGGTCTCCCGGTTTTAGAACCTCCAAACAAGTGTTACTGCTACTAGAAATATTGACCAAAATCGCCCCAGAGCATCGATATCTGCACAGGATCGCTAATTGGCATGAATCTCCCGACAACATAGCTGAACAAAGGCTCTTCAACTTGCTCATGATCCTGGAATTGGGATTTCCAGGCAAACAATCCACTGCCGTCTTGCAGAGACTGACCTTTACGCCCGGCGTCCAGTCTGGTGCATCCCTTTGGCTGTATCCAGAAGAATAGACCGAATATATTATGGAGCTGAAAGCCTCAGTAGTAAACACCACAAGAATGAGGGTGTGTTCGTTTCAGTTATGAGTCGAAATGTACCGAACAAAGCTATTCTCATCGAATCTTCACCTGGAGAGAAAATTGAGTTCACTTTCATTCCTCATACGTAACAAAAACCGACAGATTTGGTGGTAAATGAATCTTTGTGGAATAATATTGGCTAGTCCTACACCCCTGTACGTTTTCGATGCGGGTACTGTCAACTCATAACGCTATAAGGATGAGATCCTGGAAGCCTATGTGTGGGTTTTCTGGGATCTTTGAATCGGGACTGCATTTTTAAGGACGAGAATGCGTGGTCACACAGAAATAACTCTGTTGATGAATTTTATGATGGAGTAGATATTCGCTGACTGGTTTGACCCTCGTAGTCACATTTCTATTAAATATGTTTGGGATGGTCTAGGAAAAGCCATTTCTCACCGTAGCTCCCCTCCCAGGACCCCCCGAAATTAGAAATTCCGCTTTTGAAAACATGGGCTTTGTTGCTACAAATACTTATTGATAACCTTATAAACAATATGGCAGCTCGTTGTAAGGCTTGTGTATAACAGTTCACAGTGTCTACACTCCGCATTAGGCAGACTTTTTTCGAGGTTAGTGCAGCGTTTCGCAAACTGTGGGGCGCGAGAATATTGAAAAGTTCGAAACAAAAGGTTATTTAAAAAATTATTAATTTACTGAAGTAAACAAACAAAATACTTTCTGATATAATAAAAAAACGTAAAATACTTATTTACACTAATATTATACAGTTATAAATGTATTAGTACCGTTCAATGTGTATTTTATTATTAATTTAACAATACTAAGAACAAGTTTTAAAATTACCAGTAACCCCATGGGCTTGTATTAACAATTATCTTGATAATTTGTGCGATTTATAACTAATTCCTTAAGTGCCGATTAAAAGTGACGCTATTCGTTCTCCAATGCCATCGTTTTCCACATAGACGCGCGTACTATGTTTTTTTGGGAGGAGGGGGGAGGAGAAAAGGAATAAATAAGCAAAATCCTCTGAAATAAGAAAGTCCTTCTCAAACACTGTCAAGGTTCTTTTATTGCATTCCAAAGCCATCGGTATAATTTTATAGATAGCAGAGCACAAAAATGATTGTCCTTTGGAAAACACGTTCAAAGAATAAATGCGTTGGCTTAGCGAGGCGTTTATATACGTCTATGGCACATAAGAGGTTAAAGTCGCATTGTAGTTTAGTGTCAACATATAGTACTATTGAATTCAATACGTTGTTATTGTATGGAAGGGGGGGGCGATGAAAATAATGATTGAATATTGGGTCGTGAACATTGAAAGTTTCAGAAGTACTGGGTTAATGCTTTATCTGGGATTCAAGATTTATTATTTTTTTTTATGTATTTGAATCTTAATTCTTAATTAAAATCTTTTCCCATATTGTTGTGTTGCTAAAATCTTTCTGACATTTTAATGTCTCACAGCCGATGACAATACAGTAAATAATTCATCCGTTTTCATAGATTTTATGTTTATGACCTTACTTTTGGACACGAGTGTATATAATTAAATGATCTCTACAAAACACATCGAACCATTTATGACATTTTATCAAGTATTTTATAACTACAGATCGTTATGGTAATAAACACTTTTCGAGTTTTTAGAACAAAGAAACAAAAACCACATTAAAAAAAATACTAACGGAAACTGTTTTGCAATTACTTGAAATCCTATGTATATGCAGCAAAATTAGGAAATAATGTCTTTATATGTTCCATTACTTCGTGAAATTGTGAGTTTATCAACGTCGCACTATAAAACAACACAAGGGTTATTAGCGATGAAAGTCGTAGTTTTGAATTATGGTCAATTGATGAGGACAATACCTGACCTGACACTCCCTTTTCAAACTACCATACCGCACCATAGGAAGGACTTTAGACCACTACAGATTTAACGTGCATTAACTTCTTCTAAAAGACGGATCTTCAGTAGCACCAGGACTCGAAACCGAGTTTCGAAGATTTTAATGTTAGTTACAACTTATCTCATCGTAAATGGCATACACTTAGCCATTTTTTTTGCTATAGTTTAATTATTATTTTTTTCTCTCCCCCAAAACCTACTTTTGCTTTACTTTTTGAGATCTGAGAGTCCATTAAAAATTATTCAATTAATTATTTTAATTCGTATTGCATGAGTTTGGTCTTCTACGAACTATCGAAATACTGAAGTACAGTAATACCTCGACTTGCGCTTCCCCGACTTACTGGAACCCCGAGTTACTCGATTTTCAAATCTCGTCGATTCGTCTTTTTGTTCGAACGCTACACAACTCGATTACTCACTCTCCGCTTCTCGTTTAGCTAATGTACATGTTCGGACGTATCGCACGGAATCGATGATTAGCCATAATAATTTATTTAATTATATCATTAATAATGTAAGTAATAAATTTAGAAGTAGGTAGTGATGACGTTCAAAAACTACTGTATTCTCACAATCAAGAGCTGACAATTGATGAGCTCATAGAAATGAATTAGCAAGAGAAGAACTTGAGTTTTTTGACCCAGTTCAATCAGAAGATCGAATAATGGTTGGGAATTTGGTCGCAGTTTAATTGAAAATTCATTACAAATATATATATTGGAAAACATAGTCTCCAACAAATAGTATATTTTTGTCAACAAAACAAGGAATAAAAAAATTATTATCATGGTGCGAGGAGATTTTGCGGGAAAAAAAGAAATCTTTGAGCTGGCAGACTACACTTTGTTAGATTTTCTGAAACCTTCTACATCAAAATAATTTAGGTTTGCGATTTTGTATTTGTGTGTGTGTTTGTGTGTGTGTTACCTAAGATTTTATTAAATATTTTTTTCTAAACCATTATTTTCTTTTATCACGGGCTTCAACTAAAAATAATTTTTATGTATTTATTTGAGAAATTACACCCTGACTTACACGAATTGTGTGGACTAAACGCGGTTATTACTCAATTCCATCCACGCGTAAGTTAAGGATATTACAGTACTTCAAAATAATTTCGGGTCTCATAATTCAATACGGGTTAAATAAAATTTTTTAAGTAGGGGAATATGATTTTTTAATATAACTGTTCTGATATATCACAAAATTTATTATTAATTCTGAAAATAAATAAATAAATATTTAGTGGCTGGCATTTCTATTTATTTAACTGAAAAACAGAAATATGTAGAGAAATGTAAAGTATCCAAAGATAAATTTCGTAATTTTTTTTTTTACTTCTCCCTATATATATGTATATCTTGTTAAAATTTTCAATCGTTAATAAAATACTTTCTATTCATCCGTTCAAGTTCAAACGCATTTTTTAAAACTTGTAGTGGGGATGACACTAGATGTTAATACAGTTTTTTCAAATATTAATTCATTAGTTAAAAATTAATGAATAAATATTAACAAAAATAATAGTCCAACACCGTATATAAAAGGGAAAATCGTTCCTTGTGTCTCTGTAGCGCAATGGATAACGAGTTGAACTTCTAATCCAAAATTCATGGATTCGAATCCCACCTGAGATGGCTTATTTTCTGAGAATGTGACTTATGAGTGAATAAGTATTAACACAAATCCAAATAATAGTCCAACACTATATGTAAGAAGAAAAATTACAAGAAAAATCGCGTTCTATTTTGTCCCTTAATAGTGTGATTCTGTCATATGAATATACATATTTATATGAGTTGTAATTATTTAATAAAAAGCAACTATAAATTTATTTTTTCTGTTGAACTTAGTAGGAATTTTTTTTGACTTAAATTTTTTTTAACATTACTTATTTTAAAATAGTACTAAAGTTGATAAATGCGAATGTAGGGATTTATGTCGTTCATTGTTTCACTTTAAATATCTTTCATTATACACCTCATGAATCTAGTTTAATTTAAAAATCAATAGACTCAATTCAAATGTTTTTAAAAAGGAAGTTTTACTAATAACTCTTACTCTATCTAATTAAATTATGTGTGAATATAATTCGTAGAAATGGAGTGCTATAATCAGCAAATAGTGTTTTTTGAAAATTACAAGAAAATTAAAAATTTGTGCATAGATGAAGCTATAATGTCGTATTTATTTGAATAAATTATGTTTTTGCAAAATAGCACCATTTCGAACTATTTTCATTACAGTTTATAAGGAGTTTATAAATAAATGAAACATATAACAAGCCTTTTGCAACTATTCAAACTTTTTGTGCATCAATTTGTTAATTCTAGTTAATTCTTAACTGTGCCATGAGCTTTCTGGTGAATGCTTTTGATATAGTAAAATATTTACCAATAGTTTCTTGTAACTATTGATTTTAACGCATTGTATTGACTTTGCTCTATTTCTAGGAAGTCCCTGTTTGTATAGATTTTAGGAAAATCCTGTGCCTTTGGTTCCAAGAAAAGCCGATTTCTCCGAATGCGTTAAATTTATGTGACGTCACGATTACGTGATATATGCGTTCACATGTTTCTTCCGTTGAATTCTAATATCCCAGAGATTTCATACTTAGTTTTATTTTGGTTGTCGAATCTACAATGTCTTGTTATGCAGTGTATAGTTTCACTAATATTAAACGAAAAGAAAGTTGTCAAACTAAATCATTCTTTGGATTCGTTTGAAAATTTCTCATTCTTATCAAAACATGGGTTAGAAATAATGAAAGACGAGAGTTTTCTCTCAACCATCTGCTTCCTTTAAATTATGCTGCAATCACTACGAAGGAAGTTGTTTTAAATATGGGTCTTTTACAAATCGCTATAAGTAAAATCACATTCTTATTAAATAGTTACTCTTAAGGTCTGTCCTATGTATATATATATATATATATATATATATATATATATATAGGACAGATATGTAGACAGTATGTATATATATATATATATATATATATATACATATCTGTCCTATGTATATATATATATATATATATATATATATATATATATATACATAGGACAGAATCATAATATTAAGTGATAAAATAGAAAGCGATTTTCCTTTCTATATATGGTATTGGACTATTTTTGTTTGTTTGTTACTGTTTATACATTAATTAAATTTATCTATTCTAATAAAATAGTATAGTAAAAATGAAATCCCATTCTCAGAAATCAGGCCGGCCCAGGTGGGATTCGAACCCTCGACTTTTGGATTAGAAGTCCAACGCGCTATCCATTGCACTACAGGGACACAACGAACGATTTTCTTTTCTATATATGCTGTTGGACTATCATTTTTACTATTACTAATTATTAGTTTTTTAATTTAATGAATGAATTAATATTTGAAAAAACTGTATTAACGTCAAGTGTCCTCCACTAAAAGTTTTTAAAAAATGTATTTAAACTTGAATGGATGAATAGATAGTATTTTATTAAAGATTGAAAATTTGAATTATATATATATATATATATATATATATATATAGGGAGAGAGAACTAATAGGAATTGAAAAGAATTATCCAAAATAAAACATTTTTAAAATTGTATTTTATATAAATTTATGCAGAGAATCTAAAATGGTAAAATATATTTGTCACACAAAGTTTTATTTCTTTTTATTCTTCAGCAAAAGAGGAAATAGAATTCTAATGATTGAAAGCAATGCTAACACACACAAAGAAAATGAATATATTTCTAAGAAAATGTGCGAGAATACAAAAATAAAACTTGCCTTCAACTACTACACGTACTTACCTAAGCCAGTCTTAGTAAGATATATTTGTTTTTCCTTGCCGTTTTTTACTAGATATTTTCTTTCGGTAGCTTAGTTTTAGTTCATTTAGTATCAATCTTCTAGTGTTATGGTTATTTCTTAGTATAAGGACAGCTTATCTTTATTATTAGTTTTCCCTTGCAGCCCAGTTGTATAGGCAAATTACACAGGATGGTTGGACGGCCTTAAAACTACAATCTTAGTTACTAAGGCGAAGAGTTTACAATTGTACTACTGTGTCTATTTTTTTAAAGCTATATTGCCTTGTTATATTTATTGCTATGCTTTCTTAGATTTATGGTGATTTAGTAAATATATTGATGAGATTCGGATATATTTTTTTTGTATGTAATACCATTTAAATTTTTAAAAACAACTTTACTTGTTTTTAGAACACATTTGCAAGTTATATATATAGTTTATATGTACAATATTATATATATGTATATATATATATATAGTTATACAAAAATTTATTCAAACGTAATTTAATTATATGCACAATTATATATAGAGAGAGTTTTACAAAAATTGGGGGGGGACAACCCCCCAAAGACCTTGATTTTTTCCCCGATTGATTATAATCCTATGTATATAGTACGTAGAATTTAATTAAGTATTTCTTATTGATAATTAATTGTATTAATTAGTTAATTTTTTATTATTTTTTCCCGAAAATCGACAAAATCAAAAGAAAATGTTGGGCGGTGTATTGGAGCATGATACGGTGGCCGCGGTAGCCGAGTGGTATAGGTATCGGACCGTGGCTTGCTTTGTCACGGGTTCGAGCCCAGTACCACTAAAGACCCGCCGTGTAGGGCAGCGATGCACGTTAAATCTGTCGAGAGCTGAAACGTCCTCCCGTTGGTGTGGTGTGGTAGTTAGGAGAGGGGAGTGCCAGCTCAGGTGTCGTCCACGTCACTTGACCATGGTTCAAAATTACGTGGTCCGTCACCAAAAGCCCTCGTGTAGCTGAACAGTGCGACGTTAATATTCAATCAATCAATCAATCAATGGAGCATGATACGAGAGTAGTGGACTTACGACCATGATCCCCGCCCCCTCTTGAAAAATTCCTGTGTGCGCTACTGACAAAACCCGTGCGCCATTCTCTCTATTTCTATAAGATAAAAAATATATCCTAAAAAATATTAAAAATAACTACTAAGAGGTTGACCATACAAATAAATTACAATATGAAAGTTGTACAAAAAACTGTGCTAATACTTCTATTTAACCCTGCCTAATATTACATTAGAATAATACATGAAATATAACATTACAGCATGTATGTAAGGATACATCAAATTTAGAGCACCATATTATATCAGGGCACATGCAAGAATTTTGCTCCTTTTTTCTATTTTTTACATACCAGGTAATGGGATTCTGACTTGGCACTGTTTGTTTATAAATTTAGTCGTTTAGATAAAGATTATTTGTCGGAAGTTATTTCAAACTGCTTCAAATTATTAAATTTCATTAAATTAGCAACAAATGGATTCTATTATTTTAATCTCAGTAATATAAATACTTTCCGAAGATTTACAAAAAGGATTTTTATAGTTTTAATTATTTTCTGTGTTTTTTTGAAATGAGAAAAGCTTCTAAAGGAAACTTTTAGAATTTTTTTCTCGTAATTAGTTGGAAAAAGGACTTAATTACTTTTCTGATGTGTGTGTTTATTTTTAAGAAAATACTAGAATTGAAAATTATAATTATGTCTATTTTAACAAAGTTATCTTTTAATTTTATAGTTTTGATAAAAGTCAAAGAATAATCTCGAATTTTAATTAATACTTTGAGCCCATTACATTGAAATAGTTATTTTTTATATATATGTGACTTATAAATAATTTTTTAACGTGGTTGAGAAGACTTTAAGGGGAATGCAATATTTAACACTTCATTGTATGAAAAAAAGTAACAAAATATTCGATCTTTAAAAGAGGAAAAACAAATATTTTATCGTATTTTTAGAAATGCATTGACAAACTAACTTAAAGTGTAACAACTAAAATACAACATTTAATTTGCTTTGAAATTCAATAAGAGAGTTAGAAAGAATATATTACGAAATTAAATACTTTTGATTTTTCCTTAGTATTTATAAACTCAAAATTGATATGATTCATTTTATTTGTAAGAATTTTCCCCCTTAAGAAGTTAAATTAACTAATATTTATTCACTTAATGATAATTACAAAAGTTTTGATTTTCGAAAATTAATTCAAAGTTAAGTTTGAAATTTTCTCGCATGTCTAATAGAATATTTTTATTTTTAATTCATTTTTAAACTGCCTGATAAATATAAAACAAAGTATACTTTTTGTGATACTTACGTATTATACCGTCGACCAATTTGGCTGAATCAAAAACGTCGCCAAATGCCACGATAAACAGTCAACAGGGAAATCCGTTTCCATTCACGTTCAGAAACAGTATTAAGGACTAGAACAGCATTTGGCGACATTTTTCGAATTGGCGATGTCTTTTCGTTTTGCGAAATTGTTCTATGGCAAAATGCGTAAGTACTATTAGAGATACTTCAAATCAATTACAAATCTGATAAAAATATTGAATTCAGATAAATGTTAGACATATTTAATGAAGAATAAAGGAAAAATGAAATAAAAAAGTATTATACGAAAAAAATAAAAATAAAAGAGCAAAGCTTTCTTAGAAAGAAAAATTGTACTTGTCCTAATTTATGAAGTTTTTTCGATTAGGTCAAAAATATAAGGCCTGAATAGAAATCTTTTAAACTGAAATTAAAACTTTCTCTTAAACATATTTAATAATGAAGTAAAG